GCCGTGAGTAGCCTGGGGGGGCTGGAAAGGGAGGGGGGGACCTGCCTGCTGCCGAGGACACCCCCCCTCTGCCTTACAGCCAAATTATTTGTGTGGGGAGCGAAAGCAGGAGGGGAGGAGGGAGGCGAAGGAGGAGAGGTGTCCCCGAGCAGCGCCGGTGCCAGGCTGCAGCCCCACGGGCTCTTGCTTCCTTTTTATTTTATTCTTTCAGCCCCTTTTTGAACCTTGGGGGTTTCAGGTACCTGCTGAGGTTTTTTCCACCAGAAATCCTGGCAGGGTTTCACCTCCCACCCTTGCTCGTGGAGTTCAGCCCCTGCTGCCTTTCCGAGGGCTGCCACAAAGTGCTTCAGGAGCCTGGGGACCCTTTTTCCAGCCAAATCTTTATTTGACTTGGAGAGAACAGGGACAGCGCAAGGGGTTAAGCGCTGCCCGGTGCACCAGAAATAGAAGAGGCTGGGGGTTGCGATTCCCACCTCAAAGTCGTTTGAAAGTCAGGCACAGCTGCTCCCGGGAAGGCGGCGAGCCCGAGCCTCGCTGCTGACCCAAGGGCACATGTCACTGCCCTTTCCCTGTATTGTGACAGAAACGTGGAGCGATGGAAACACACCCAGAGAGCCACCAGTGTGGTCCATTGCTGGTGGGAACCGTGGTGCTCACCCCAGTCCCTCTCCCACAGCGTGTCCATCCATCCAACAGCCGCGGGGCTGGGAAGAGTGAGGAGCACGGACAGGCATGCTCGATCTGTTGCATCAGACGTGGCATGGGCATGCAACCATCCCGGGACCCCCATGTCCCATGCAACCACCCCACTGGCTCTTCTCTTTGTTCTTCTTCTGCCGGCAGGAGCAAGTCATCGGGTTTTCCGTGATGTCCGCGTCCTTCCTGCTGCCCACAGCCTGGATCCTGGCGCACCTGCACCACTACAAGAGCAGATCGGATTAAGAAGTGGCAAGAACCACCTCGCAGCCCTTTGAGAGCAGAAGTATGGGTGGAGATAAGACCACAGAACAGGTCATCTCCGGGAAGAAACCCTCCAAGTTTGTTCATTAAAACTCACATTAGCATTCAGTGTAATGGCTTCTTGGTTTTGCGTCAACCACGTGCTTGTTGGTAGAGGAACGGATCCGTAATGCGCTGTCCTAGGGGTGGCACTCCCTTGGGAGCTGGCAGCAGGCTCTGGCAAGGAGGCACGGCTCTTACTGGAGCTTTTACCTCGTACAGTCGCAGCGAAGCACAGGGCAGACACCGCAGAACCACTCACAGCACTAGCAGGGAAGCAAAATCCCATTAAATTCCTCGCAAGAAAAACACTCCAAGACTGTAAGTGACGTTTAAACGGGTCCACGGCCTGAGCGCCGCGCACCCGACTCGTCTTCCCACGTGAAGAACCTCTCCACCCCGCCAAACACACCCCAAACTTCCCGAATTATTTGTGAGGGAAGCAGCCAGCGCTCGCTCCCGCACGGGACGGGTTGGGCAGCAAAGTTGTGCCACAAATCTTGGCAAAACCTCTGCGACAACCGGCCCAGTTCACCCAGGCTGCTGGTCTCCACACCAGCTTCACCGAGCTGCTCGAAAACGTAGACGCGGGCGAGCAGACCCCACAGCACAAGGGTTGTCCAAACACTCCCAGGAGAAGGCTTTAGTGCCGCTCCGACAGCAACGCTCCAGGTTTCTGGATGGCCACCTAAAGCGCCAGCGGCCCCGTGCCGCGTCTTTGCCGCACGGTTGGCATCTCCACCACTCCCAACACGCAGGGACACGGCACTACTAAGGAGATCGCGCTTCTTAAAGCCTTTTCCTGTCCTTAGCTCCGAAACAAAGGGAATGCTTTCCCTGTCGGAACGCCCGTCTCTTCCACGTCAGAAGCTCTTCAACCACAGCCGTAACCGAACCGGCGCTGCCGAGCGAGAACCGACAGCGGCATTTAAAAACCCACGGCCACCCTGCGGAATGTCGCCAGGCGCGCGACGAGGGCTCCGCTCAACTCGAAGTCACCGTCCCAAACCTCAGTGCGGTTTGCCATGGCTGCCTTCGGAGCGCTGAGCATCCAAACGGACACTCGGAGGTGGCCTCCAGTTCAGGTAGGGATTTGTTTCAATTATCTTCCGTCCCTACGGAGGCACGGCGGCAAAACAATCGCATTAGAGCTTTTAAAGCAGAAGTCAGGCAAAAGCAGAACAGAAACTTTCCCTCTGGGCCTGATGGAGGCTTTTCCAGCCAAGTCAGTAATGCTTAACTCGAGCAACGGCACCAGGGCAAGAGCTTCCCACAAAAGGAAGGAAGCTGACAATAAAGTACATGCCAAGGCAGTACATGCCAAGTAAATGACGTACTAATCCCACCGGACCGTTGAAATCTCCATTGTTCTTCGGCAGAGGGGGTGTGTAACCGGAACCTGAGAAGGAAGCGTGTTTTCCAACGGAGCAGAGGCTCAGCTGCAGGTGACAAACACACGGACCACAGCAAAGGGAAGGCAGAGGAGTTTATTCCAGCAGTACTGCTGCACCTCGCTTCAGCACAAAGCGTTCGTAAAAGACAACCACCCCCAAAAGTATATAAAAACACATCCACTAAACGGCAATCCCGGAAAAAACCCTTTGATGGAGTAAACACTCCCTCTACCGAGGATGAGGAGGGGCTGCGGAGATGGAGGGTGAAAGGAGAAGGGTGGTTTCAGTAGTGCTGCCTTCGGGCTGCCGCAGGGCAGGGAGGTTCCCAGGGAAGGTCTCGCCCTCCTAAGGCCAACACCACCGGGTAACACCTCATCCCATGGTCAGGCACCTCTCCAGCTCGTTTTCCCACCCCTGTGCCCGGCAAACAGCCTCCGCTCCCGTAACATGTACCCACCACCACCTCCTCCCGCGGCAGCTCGATAACGCCACCGAGATCGCCCACCGCGGAGCCGTCGTCCTCCCTTCAGGAGAGCGGGACGGGAGCTCTCGTGGTCGGTGCCACTAACGTTGGCACGCAGGGAAGTCTTGACTCCAAGCACCAAAGGGTTACCCAGCGAAAGGCCACTTACTGCCCCGAACACGCGTGGAAAAGCTGCTCCCCCCTCTGCCCACCCCCCCCCAGTGTAATTCCGCACAGAGTCAGTGGTCTGAGCGCTGCCGGCGGCAGCAGCGGTTCCTCTCCCGGGGCAGCGCGAGCTCCTCTATGTCAGGATGTCGTGAGCCTGGTGCTCCACCAGCATCTCCATGCTCCTCACGTCCGTGCACCAGAAATCCAGGCGGTCTTTCATCCCCTTGATCTGCAAGGCAAGCCCACGGAAAGTTCAACGCCTCCACGACCGGAAACACCAAAACTCACCTGGAGGGACAAACACTCGAGATGCCCAAGCAGCTCCTCGAAACCCCATACGTTCAGAAAACATGCTACTTCACAGCTTTTACCATCAAAATGGCAATGTTTAAAATAAAATCGAAATGCACAAAAGGAATTGTTTGCAGCTGGCATTCCACGTACTGATTTGGGTTTTTTTGAAGGTAAAGGCACCACCCTACAGTCTCCTAAATCGTTAGAGGAGGACGAACTGGAGAAGCTGAGCACCTTCATCTTTAGCACCCTGAACTTCTCTCTTTCCAAGAGAAGCGTGCCACTCACAACCCAGAAACTCCAAGATTTTGCTCCATGCATTTAGGCTCGAAGCAGCCACAAAGACATTTGCCTCCTTCTGGAAAATGCAGTCGTGGCATTTGCCCTCTGTGGTGGCCCGTGCGGCTTCCCGAAGGGCGGTGTCACCACCTACCCCATTCTACCTCCTGACAAGTTCCTAACTACTCACTGCAAGACACAGACACAAACCCAGCGTACGCCAAAGGAGGCAACGTGCAAAGGGATGAGGAACAGCTGATCTACTTCCTCATTCCCTGAGCATCTTCAGGAAGCACGAAGGAAATTCTCAAGCAGTGACTGTTCCTTCACAGTTCTTGTTTTAACTTCCAGGCCACCTCACACGAGAAAACGAGTCAGTGCTGCCTTCGCATCCGAGCGGGTCGTTACCTGCTGTAAATCCAACACGCGCGGCTGTACCCACGTCATGTGCACCCTCTTGTCCACCTCATCGATGCTGCCCTTCACCAAGCCCACCGACAGCGCCTTCATCACCAGCAGCTCCACCTGAAACAAACAACCAAATAAAACCCAGGGAACGACTGAAAACTGCCCAGTTCCCCCAAGATGAACCAAACCTCCGCACGGCCCCGGCTTGCGCGAGGCTGGTTACGGCACACAACGAGGGCCCGCTCCAGCCTCTCTCACGTCCATCCTCTTTTGGGTTTTAGTCCTGCCTTGAGAATCGACGTCTAAACACACAGGAGAGATTTCTTTTCTACAAGAGCAGATTTCCTTTCTTTTCTCCGAAATCCCAGGAAGGACAAGGTAATTGGAAAAAGCCAACACGGATTGGTGTGCTCGATCCATGTTACTGCCTTTTGAAATTCAATAACTTGCTCAGAGGTTGCAGAGAGCGCCGCAGGTCCCCTGTACCTTTCTTTCAGCCAGGTGCCCAACAAGACCTTCTGCCACACCCTTGCTGACGAGCTCGTAAACTACAGAGCAGACAGAAGGACCACAAAACGAGCAGAAAAATGCGCTAAACCATGGAGCTGACACGGCAGTGGTGAGAGGTTCAAAGTGGAACATCAGCTGGTCACAAGTAGCACTCTGAGGGGCTGATAATATGAATTATCGTTCAGCTCCCTGGATGACAATCTCACAGCTGACCCTGAACAGGCAAGGAGAGTAGATGTGCGCTGGAAATAAGATCTACCATAAGGAGAGATCCCGACAGGTAAGAGAAGCATGGTCCTGCACCTGAGACCGACCGAGCAAGAGCACAGGCAGCCGTCTGACTGGCCGTGGTACAGTCGGAATACACTCGGCAGAGTATACTCTGATGGAGAGGAGCGGAGCCCAGGGGGGACAGCAAACTGGGCAAGAGCCAGGGGGTGCCCCCGCAGCAACAAAGGGGAGCTGTGTTGTCACTGCATCAGTAAGAACACGTGAAATCAAGGGATGTGACTGTTCCACCGCTTGTTGGAACACGCCTGCAGCGCCGTGCCCAGTTTCGCATCACTCTCAGCACAAGGGGGTCACTGCAGAACTGGGGAGCGTCTACGACGGGCCACCACGATGAGGAAGCTGAGAACTTCACATTACAAAGATGTTTTATTTCTTCAGCCTAGGTAAGAGGCAACTTGGGGATACCTCACCGGTCTGTACCTAAAGGGCAGTAACGTGGAAGACAAGAGGTCCCGTTTTCATAAGGTGAAAGGACAAGAGGGCACAGGCAGGATTTGCTTCAGCAGGCACTCCATCTGGGTAACAGAACAAAATCCTTCACTGGGAGGAAAAATTAAACATCGCTGACGTTTCCCCTCACTGGAAACGAGACTCGAGACAGCCTGGCAGGGCCCTGCACAACCTAATCCAAAGGCCTGCCTTCAAGAGTAGGGGGGAACGGATGGCCTACAGAGCTCTCTTCCAACTTAAGACTACGGTTAAGAAGCTTCAAAAACTTATTTACCAAGAAGCAGGAGCACCGAGTAGTTAATTCCTTCTTGGACAAGTTCTCCAAACGCACAAGAACAAGGGCGAACGCGTCTACTTAGAGTTCAGCCACAGGAGTGGGTCTAGCCAGACACTTTCAGATCTTCACAACTTCAGACGTTAGTCAGTCTGTCTGAACCTGAGCTCACCTCGTTCACCGTGACTTTGGCACTCTTGGCGATCTCCTCGAAAGTGAGCTGCCTGTGGTTGGCCGGGCGGGTGAAAGTCATCTGAAAGCGAGTAAACAAGACAAAAAATAAATCCCACGCAGTTCTCGTTTTGTCCAGCAGCGCGCGCAGCTCCCCTTCTCCTGCCCTTCTGAGCTCCCCACCTGCAGCACCAACCGCATTTCCCACATTTCATGGAAACGCTTCCAAGGAAAACGCCCTTATGTCAGCAGG